TCAGGCAAATCTCAAAAGGAAATCTCAGTTCAATATTCCGCAATTGCTAATATTGGTACTTTCACAAGCACAAAAGGTGATTAGTATATCAGTTTTCTTACAAAAATTTAGTGTTTTATTTTGATTTATTTGGGTGTGTTTTAAGTAATAAGAATGCAAATGTAAAGCAGGAGGATAACAATGATCTGGGAGAAAAAGTGGAAGGCTGACGATTCCGAGGAGGAAGCTAACGGTGAGAAAACAGTTTTAGCCTTTGATTCATTAACTCTTCTCGTTCTTCTTCTTCTATTTCTTTTCTCTCTTTCGGCCTTTCTCCGTTCACACGGCTGGCTGCCACGATAACGAATATACCTCGGCCCGAGCCGGAGGTGCGGTAATTGGCGGCGTTCGAACCGGTCGGCATCCATCCGGAGAAATGGAAACGGTCAAATACCAACAACAGCACTTTGTCTTCTTCAGGCGGTCTCGGGTCGGCGAGCGTCTTTACACTTGCAGTCGCGTTGGCTCACCGGTCCGCGTTAACTCGCACCGGCGACTTCGCGTTCGCCATATCTTTTTCCAAGAATGCAGCCACAAAGAGAGCAAAAACCCATCGTGGTATGCGTGCCTGATGAATGACTTCTAAAAGTCAATTCTGAATATAATAATAAAAAAATGATAATATCTAAAATCTCGTACAATAGTACCTGGGGTTTTAAAACAAAAATTACGTTTAACGAGACAAACTCAGATACAACCTACTATAATAATAATATATTTTTTTTTTGCCTTATGATCTATGCATATTAACCATGGTGACGAATTTTTGTATGTGGGTTCTAATTTGGGGGGGGGGGTTATCGTGAAAAAAGGGCCAGAGGCGACGGTGGGAATCGAACCCACGACTGCGGCGTCTATGAGCCGAGAGTCTCTCACGCTAACCACTCGGCTACCGCGGTCCCCGTATAATATTATATATTATCTTACATTTTTTAATTTATTATCAATAAATGTACTGCATTTAATCCTGGAAGTTTAAACCTCAAACTAATGGGTCGGCAAACTACATCCCACCACCGTTTTCAATCCAGCCTGCGATTTAATAATGTGTTTAAATGGAAAAATTGCAAAACTTTATACGAAACAAATAAATCAGATAAGATGGCGATCGGTAAGGAAACATCCGATGCACGTACATTTAGGGTACATATTTATAGTGAACTCTAAAAGTATTAAGAAATCCTGTTGTCAATTTTTTTTCAGGGGGTGGAAGAGACTGCAACGTTAGGGTGTTGACAAGGGGCTCATTACTTGTAAGGTAAAAGTTCCGGGTTCGAATCCAGCGGCACTGACTTCAAATACGATAAACGAATGTTTTTGTAAATGTATTTTTTTATCAGAGGGTTTCATATAACCTCGTAGATGATATACTCTCGTTAAAAAAAAGTTTGCTATCGTAGTCCCCGGGATCGTGGGTTCGACTCCCATCGCCACCCCTTAAATTTTTAACTCATCCCCCAATTCCAAAAAATCAATCAAAATACGTTTGAAGCAAGGCTAATGTGGTAGACTCGAAGCCAAAGTAAATGTTTCTACTTTTCCTGGTTCAAAATTAAAGCATTCTTGAAAATCGGGAGATAGAATAATCGGGTTTTTTCCACGAGCACGTAAAAACCACGATTTTTGTCCAAAAATCGCGAACAACTCGAAAACGGTTGGGAAAAATAGTTGAAGGTCGATTGAAAGCTTATTAAAATTTTCCTATCGATTGCTATAGGGCGCGGCTTGAGGACGATTTCCTGGCTCCACAGCTCAACATGAAGTTTTCGTAAAAAGTAAAAAATCAAAATGTTCCCGAATGTTTAATTTACTGTGTCCGAGTGGGTCGAGATCACGATAGCTCAAGTGGTAGAGCAGCGGCGTATCAAACCGAAGATCGTGGGTTCGAATCCCGCTCGTGCCATTGACTTTTTGATCTCAACTGAAAACTTTAATTAATTGTAAGATATTAATTGGTCAAGCGGACCACGAAACTAGTGAATTTAATAAGTTTAATTTACTTATGACTGACAGAACCTAGAAAAACATTTAAAAAAGCCATCTTGTTCAGCGTAGGTTTCTAAAAAATGAGACCCTAGCACAGGTCTGTGACAAAACCAGGTGGTCAGTTTAAAAAAAATATATATTTCTATGTCTTCATGTGGTATACGAGGTATGAACTTATAATTTGGTCGTTACCAATTATTTTGATCTGACTATAAACTCCTTGTGTCTGTGAGAATAAACACACTGAAGAAGACACAACTGAGTCTCATAGACACACTAAAGATTAGAAGAGTTACAAGTTCATGACTCTGCAGACCACACGAAAAATCTCACCATCTTAAATACATATGAAAATATAGTAGATCTCATAAATTATCACGTGGATATAATTTAAAAAGTAAATAAAATAAAAAAAAAACTATGAAAATATGAGCTCATTTAAAACTTTTTTGTAAACATGGTTTCATACAAGTTTATGACCCTCCAGACGAAACGAAAAATCTTACTATCTTACAAACATACTAAAATATAGTAGATCTCATAAATTATCACGTGGATACAATTTAAAAAATAAATAAAATTAAAAAAACTGGAAATATGAGCTCATATAAAACTTTTTTGTAAACATAGTTTCATACAAGTTTATGACCCTCCAGACGAAACGAAAAATCTTACAAACATACTAAAATATAGTAGATCTCATAAATTATCACGTGAATACAATTTAAAAAATAAATAAAACAAAAAAACTATGAAAATATTAGCTCATATAAAACTTTTTTGTAAACATGGTTTCATACAAGTTTATGACCCTCCAGACGAAAAGAAAAATCTTACTATCTTACAAACATACTAAAATATAGTAGATCTCATAAATTATCACGTGGATACAATTTAAAAAATAAATAAAATTAAAAAAAAAACTATGAAAATACGAGCTCATTTAAAACTTTTTTGTAAAAATGGTTTCGTACAAGTTTATGACCCTCCAGACGAAACGAAAAAATCTTACTATCTTACAAACATACTAAAATAAAGAAGGTCTTGTAAATTATCATGGCAACATAATTTAAAAAATAAATTCAATTTTACAAAACTATGAAAATATGAGATCATATAATTTTTTTTGTAAACATGGGTTCATACAAATTCATGACCCTCCAGAGCAGACGAAAAAACCTTACTATCTTACAAACATATTAAAATAAAATAGGTCTCGAAAATTATCATGGCAATATAATTTGAAAAATAAATTCAATTTTACAAAACTATGAAAATGAGATCATATAATTTTTTTTGTAAACATGGGTTCATACATATTCATGACCCTCCAGACCACACGATAAAATCTCACTATCTCACAAACATGTTTAAGTATAGTAGCTCTCATAAATTATCATTGTGATATAATTTACAAATTAAATAAAATGTTACAAAACTATGAAAATATGAGCTCACATAAAACGTTTTTGTAATCGTGGGTTCATACGTCCCTGACCCTGCAGCACGAATAATCTCACTATCTTAAAAACATAGTAAAATATAGTTGATCTCATACATTATCATAAGAATATAATTTAAAAAATAAATATAATTATTTTAAAAACTTGAAAATATGAGCTTTTTTGTAAACGTGGGTTCATAAGTCCATGACTTTTTTTAAATTTTTAAATTTTTTTTTTGACGAGCATCGTATATGCTTTTTCTTGGTACGAATGTGGATGTTCTTTTCGTTTTCACGTTGATTCTACATTTCATCTGATAAGAACTCTTAGTCTTCCAGCTTGTAGATTTACCAAATCTCATGCGATTGAGGTTGTTAAAAAAAATCTTTTTGAGGTAGTTGGTGGAATCTTTTCGAAAAATACCGTTGCGACTTCGGTCCTACGTTAAAAGGTGTATCTCTTGAAGAGCCACTATCAAATTTAATTTTCAAGATGAGAATAGTATTGTACGTCGGGAAGAGTTCTGCTGTAGAGGGTTTCGATCTTGTAAATTATGCTTGGCGTTTCAGATATTTAGTTAATGAAGTTAATTATTAATTTTTATATTGTGTTATATTATTGCTGATCATATTAAACATTTTTATACGATATATTTTGTTAGTTTGCCTAGTTTTTCAATCAATGTATGTTTTAGTGGTTCATGGACCAAATTACTTCTTTCAATTAATTATTCTTTGTATGTAAGGTTTTGGTTGAGATAGAAAGTCAGTGTCACGAGCGGGATTCGAACCCACGATGTTCGTCTAAATAAGCCGCTGCTCTACCACTTCAGCTATCGTGACCTCGATTCTCTTGCGACACTGACTTTTTTATCTCAATCAGAACCTTACATAAAAATAATATTATTTCAATATTTATGCCATGTCAATTCAATTTAATTTGTAATTAGACGTAATATTATAGTATAATTTTACGAAATATAGAGTCGCATCTTTACGGTAGTTTTCTTCTGTATTATTTTTAGTAATTATTATTATTATAGCAAAACTCTCATGCTGAGGATATCCAGGATATGCTTTTATATAGCTTCTTTTTGACTAAGCAAATTCCTAATTAAAGTTAAATAAAGCATGTTATTTTTATTAATTAATAGATTAGTGTCAACCAGCCAACTGCTTATTGTTCGCAAAGGTCTTATGCACATAAGCAAAAATATGTTATTTCTTAACAATAGAATTTCAAAAATAAAGATAAAATTTTATTACGACAAAACAATTAATCATCCTTTATTATTTAGAAAGCTATAACGACGATTTTTTTCCCTAAATTTAAACAATTTATAGTGTAATCTTTGAGGAAGATTCATCCAGTCGTAAATGACTTTTTAGATTTTGGTAGTTTTACTTTTAGATGAATATATTGGACAAAACAAAAATGAAATATGTTTCATTGTATTGTTTTATATACCGTGTCGCAATGGCCTTTATGAGGAAGGATTTGCGCATAATATTTACGCAATTTACCCCGGTTGTTCGCATACTGATCGATAAGACGAATCGTTTGTTATTCAGACGCCGATATCGGCCAAGGGGACGTCTGAGTATATAAGTTGTTCGTTTTCTTTTCGAATTATCAGTATCACGATGAAATCCGTAGTAGCACTTCTTTGCTTGGCAACCGTCGCCCTCGCCAACGAAAAGGCGTTCTTCTTCTTCACCGCCCCTCGTGTCGTCGAGGAGGTGAGCGTCGAACAGGTGACTTCCGACGTGATGGCCAAGCTGAAGGACGCTCAGGGCTCGGACACGGGCGTCTACCACGTCTACTTGCCGGACGGACGTTTGCAGAAGGTCGAGTACACGACTGCACCCCTCGAAGCACAGCCCAAGAAGGAGACCGAACAGCCCAAGAAGCCTTTCTTCCCGGTCTTCAAGACTGTCGCTCTCCCCACACCCGCGGACGACATGAAAGACAACAAGGAAAGTGAAAACTACAAAAGCGAATCTCCTGCCACAGGCTATGTAGCTAGCGTTACATACACCGACGTGGAGCCGCTCCAGGGCCCGGTCTACGTCTACAACCCCAAACCAGCTGTCAGAACCGTAAGATACGCTCCTCAATACCAGTAAAATTTCAATTTCAAGAAAACAGCTTCTATGTGCTTATTTATAATCCACACTATAATTTAAAAATACAGAATAGCATAAATTTAAAGTATATTTTTTCATTCATCCTTCCTTCATCTATTCTTTTGGGCTCCCTACGCAAAAAATTTTGAGCCCATCCTCACAAACTCTTAAAAGTGGGCATTCACGATCACTCCTAAGAAATTTAAAGAAAACTTCCTAGAGAACTTAAGTTCTTTGTAGTTCATCCCTGTAGAGAGAAATCGTAATGTGGTTGCCAACCTTTCAAGTAGTGATGATTTCTCTCATGACTGTTTTTTGTTTTCAATCAAGGGGGTAACAAGCTGGAGTAAATATAAATAAGACGTTAATCTTTTTTTTTGTAAGGTTTTGGTTGAAATGAAAAAAATAGTGCCACGAGGGGATTCGAATCCACGACATTCGGCTAAAAACGCCGCTGCGCTAACCACTTGAGCTATCCTGACTTCCATAGTTCGATCCACTCGGGCACCAACTCCCCATCTCAACCTACAACCTTTAGAATTTTCTCTCTTTTTGCCATTTTTTGGTGTCCGCCATGGATTCAGATCCCGCTCGTGGCACTAGCTTTTTAATTTCAACCAAAACCTTACAAAAAAGATTAAATAATTGAAAGAAGTAATTTAGTCAATAGAACACTACATATAATGAATAAATAAGACGTTTCATCCATCCTTAGATAGTTCCTCTAATCAGCGGGTTCAAGGGAAAGATCTTTCATCAAATTGATGTGGGTATTACGGCTTCTGTTCAGGAGCCACTTCTTACACCATTTCCTCTTCGATTTTTTGCTTTTAATATGTAAATAAACAGAAGAGTAGCACAAGAGATCGTCATCCATTTTGAGAAGGTAATTCACTGGTTGACGTTCGNAAGTTTAACACCATATGTAACTCTTTTGTTTTGTAACAACCAATAAACTCGCAATTTTGAATAACTATGAGTTTTTTCATTGATATTGTAGAGAAGAACCTAACTAAACCTAACCCAAACCTTGACTAAAATAATGTACCTATATTGTGCAGAAAGCTAATATCTATATATGCTACGGTACACCCTACCTAGGTAGGTAGGGTGTATCGTGTATGTACGACAACCCTGCATCACACACACTTGCAGCCTCTCAGAGTCGATCGTAAGTAGTCTAAAAATATTGAGGTAGATCGCCAGCAGTTCAAGTTTGAGCACCCCTGGTCTACTCGTTTAGACCAATCCTGACGCAAATTACGATCCAACTTGAACTATCCCTTAGCCCGAATCCCTTTGTCAAAAATCTTTCATCTACCAGTTGACCTAATAATCTTCGCAGGAAAATGAAGATTGTCCAGCGACGTCCTCCTGGCCGACATCGAATTCCTAATATGGAGCTCATCGATCTCATCATACTGATGTGCCAACGGCTTCCTTTTCTGAGTGGTTTCTGTTCATGGTCCTGAGCTTAAGCAATTCTAGATATATTAGCTTTTTAATTTGTTTAATTGATATGCTCCAAAACTATGCTCGATAAACAAATTAGAACGTGAAAAATAGCGAGATTGAACGCTCTCAACAAGCATAGACTGGCACAAAGGCAAAGGGCTAATCCGAGTCGGATAAAAATAAGTAATTTCCGTACAAACGTTCTATTTTATATTATTTTCTTTTGAGAGGGCTTCAAGCTTGAAATGCGCTGTACATCTTGCAATGTCATTGTACGTTCAGGAGATCTTGTCGGTTTTTCACATCACCGCTTCGGTGAACCTTCCAGATCCCCACTTCCGTCGAACAATAAAATTTTCTATTATTAGATTTATGATTTTTTCCTCTTTCTCATCGTCGTCATAGGCGACACCCACTCGGTATGCCGGGGTTGATGTCGAAATTGAAAGGGCGGAACGGATTCAACGGATTCAAGGGCGGCGAGGCAACGTGGAAGAAACGGTGAAAGACCACGTCGCCGAAAGGAGCCACTCGGCGTAAATAATCGGTAATGCCGGCCCATACTGACTCTTCAAAGAATGTAATGGCTTCCGATCAATCAACTGCTTCGGCTACTTGGACGGATCCCGCACTCGGTTCAATCAGTTTTCAACGAATTGTTTCCTCTTCCATCAAGCGCAGATGGACATTTATATGCTTACCTGGTAAGCCAAGCGGAATTTCGAACCAATTTTCCTTCTGATATAATAAAATTTTATGGTATAGTAATAAAAGATGAATTAATTTGATGGCTAAACATCAAAGATTTTGTAGCTTTAATCTTACCCGGTCATCATGGACAGCACCTGCTCTGTGTGAAATGCCAGCGTTTGGAGGTTAAGACAGCGAGACTAGGCTGCCCAAAGTGGTCAGTGGCAATCAAACGTCAAGACAATCAACGATCAATTGATTTGCTGGTTTAACATCAACGATTCTGTAGCTTAATCTTTCCCCGTCAGCTCGGACAGCACATGCTCTGTGTGAAATGCCAGTGTATGAAGGCACAGGGACAGGAGTATTTGGACCTGGAACCAAATACTCAGAACCCATGGGAAAATACACCAGTATCTTCCAAGCTGAGATCCATGCAATCGAAAGATGTACCCAATTCAACCTAAGCAAAGGGTACCAAAACAAGAATATAGCTAGCATGTCAGATAGCCAAGCAGCCGTCAAAGCACTAAGCTCAAACACCATTAGTTCAAGGATGGTGCTGAACTGCAAAATCAAACTAAATATTTTAGGTATGCAGAATCAAGTCAGCCTTTGCTAGGTCCCAGGACACATGGGAGTAGATTGCAACGAGTAAGCAGACACCGCTGATAGGACCTGAACCCTTCTGTGGCATAGGAATCCACACTATTAACGAATATCTCAGACAGAAGGACAAAAAGAAAATGAGGGAACTTTGGAATTCACTCATTGGACATAGCCAATCCAAGAATCTTCTAACCAATTTTGGTAGGAAAGAAATCACAGAATGTGTCAAAGGAAGCAAGAACAGATTGCGAATCCTAACAGGATTCCTAATAGGACACTGCAGATTAAATGGACACTTAAAGAAAATTGGAACAATCCAAGATGGCAAATGCAGACTCTGCAAGGAGGCAGAAGAGACACCAACACATCTACTAACAAACTGCGGAGATACACTAGCCCGCAGGAGGAAATGTTTTGGGATGTATAATGTGACCATAGAAGAGCTTCCACCACTGAAACCGGGCCTATTAATCAAGTTTCTTGATGAAATAGGACTCACCGATGTGCTTTAGGCAGAGAACGGGGGCTACAATAGCTCTTAAAGGGCGCAGTATATTACACCCCGAATATTACATCTACATCTACATCTACATGGAGGTTAAGACAGCTAGACTAGGCGGATCAAAGTGGTCGGTCATGGCTTTTCAAAGAAAGGCTTCACCTAGTGCCCGTTTACCTAGATGATACAATATGATGAACTACATAATCTCTTATATTAAGCTGGCATTATGCAATGAGAGCGAATTCAATCATTTTCTCAGATTGTTGAAAAAAGTGCCACGACCTAGAATTCTATCGACATCAAAGATTCTGTACCTTAATTTTATCTTATTAACCCTAGATGCACATGTTTGCTAGTTAAAAAATTTTGTGCTGATAAACCAGCGAGACTAGGCGGTCCAGAATGATCAGAGACGACCAAAGTACAAGTTTATCGCCCACAGATCTCATTTCTACAAATCTTTACGACACCCACTATTTCTTAAATTATTATAAATTTAGTCCGTTATTATTCAAAACTTTACACATCAGTTGATGAAATTTAATGGAATTGGTAATTTAAATTTTGGATTTATTTTTTGGAACGTTGCTCTTCAAGTATACGATGATGACTATGATTGATAGATTTTTATAGATTGTCCCCCTTGTCATTTTTGAATTGCGAAGTAATTGCAAAAAGGACACACACCCTTGGAAGGATCACATTATACATTAACTGCAATTGTTAAAATGACGAGCCTGAAAGATCTGCCGATAGGCTGAACATAGCGAGGAAAGGCGGACCGAGATGATCCGAACCGCCCAAGCTACCGGGCCATCATCCACGGACTTCAAGAAGTATCGAGTTTTTTCTTTAACACTGTCCATTTGGTTGAAATTAATAACTGAATTATTCTAATAAAAGTTAATTTATATTATTAAAGTCTTAAAATCATACATAAAGGAGAAAGTTCCGTAAGGTAAATCTGTAATTTAAAGTACCAATTTGTTGAAATTTCCCTTAGTTTAAATGTTTTAAACGTCATAAACCAGACAGACATGCAAAATGTTAAATATTCAACAATCGGCCATGTTTGGGTGGTAGGTGATGTCCTTAAAATTTATATAATTATGAAATCTAGTTATGATACACTTGTAGTGCACAAGTACAAGCAAGTCGTTGTTTTGGACCGTCATTAATAAACTGACCAAAGTTTAGTAATAACCATCTAAATGATAATAATATGAGTCTGACACTCCAACAAAGCGAGGACAGGCGGATGAATATAACTATATACTGTTAGACGCAAATCTAGGGTATATTCAGTCGGATTAAATTCATTAGACTTCATGGTCTGATTGACCAAATAACATCTTTCAATTAATTAATCTTTATGTAAAGTATTGGTTGAGATAAAAAAGTCAGTGTGACGAGCGAGATTCGAACCCACGACCTTCGGCTTAATACGCCGCTGCTCGATCCACTTGAGCTATCGTGACTTCGATCCACTCGGACACCAACCTCCCATCTCAACCAACCTTTCGAATTTTCCCTCCTTTTTGCCGAAGATCGTGGGTTCGAATCCAGCTCGTCAGACTGATTTTTTGTTACCAATACCTTACATAAAGATTAATTAATTGAAATTCAGGTTAAAATTTATTGGATCATCTGGCCCTCTCTCGGAGCTGCACTTCCAAAGGTCACTTGATAAATGGAATTTCAAGTTGAAACTGAATTAATCAAAAAGCGCAAAGTTGTGAATAGAATAAATAGTATAATGAGATAATTTTAATTCAGGAAAACCCTTTGAAGTTATTATACTCACGGCCCC